TAATAGCTTTATTGTCCAACAGTTTTCCATTTATAGGACAATTTATAAGCATAATACAAAAGCAAAAAAAAAGCGAAAAGGAAACAACAAATGCAACACAGGTATAAATTTGTAACATGAGCTATTGCTCCGAATAAGCCTTAGCTGCCTTTAGCAGGTAATTAACATTTTGTCGTAAATATATCACAGTAACATCCAATTCTGTTTAAGTTAGAGCACATTACATATAACGGTGACTTGAGAAGAATGTTTGTCCTAGCTCTAGGAAGCCCGAATATTTTATGATTGCGAGATGCAAACGTTGGAGTACGAAACTTGATCTTTTCCAGGATCATGGGGCAATCAATTAAATTGTTGATCATTTTGTAGCCAAATATTATTGAGGCACAGTACCTACGTTTTTCACGTCTAAGCGACTACATCATGACATGATCTATCGAAATTCCATAGAGCAAATAACGTAAGAAGTTTTATGGAGTCCTGTTAAAACATATAACAGTTATATAGAAATTACGGAACTAGTTATTTGATATCCTAAATACTAAACCGTTAAAAATTAACACAAATTATTCGTTTTTGATAACAAGCTTTTATATAGGTGTTTATGAAATGAACAAAAAATGTTGACATAAGGACGAAAAAAGGATGTAACACCCTTTTGCTTGAAAACTAGTTAGCTAAATAAAATGTTGTTTTTCCAAAACTATTTTTTCTCTCATTTATTTCACTCTTTTTTGTACTTATCTCCTTTCTAAATCTAACCTCGCTATTGTCCTGGTCCATAACATTTCCAGTCGGACAAAAATATTCTTAAATTCCCTAGTTAGCTAAATAAAATCTTATTTTAAAAATGTATTTTTTATTTTAATTATTTGATTCCTTTTTGCACTCATCTCTTTTCTGAATCTAACTACCCAATTGTCTTGGTCTATAACATTATTACAACGACTTTCATGTTTGTAAAAAACCTTACAGACGTTTCGGTTGTATCGGAAATAATCTCAGTACATATGGAAAAAGATATTACAGTTGCTTTAATTAGCAATGCCGTAAAAGTCATTGCTGTTTCACTCCATGCCCTTATAGCTGATATCCATAGTCATTCCCAGGGCTCTGCTGCTTACTGCTCCGTGTTCGGCTGTTAAGTTTTATTCGCCATTTGGTAACTTGAGAGAGTGGAGAACATTTAACGTCGTTGAGCAGGGCAACAGCTTTATTTAATTCAACTGCCAAGGAGTGTGTGGGGCGTGGAGACTTATAGTCACGCGGGGTTGGTTGCTTTATTTTTTCCTCAGCTTCGCATAACAAGCCTAGTATTAAGGGGACTCCCGCAAAGGTCCCCACACAAAAGCAATGAGAAAACACTTTCGGTACTGACCACCTACCGAATAGGTAGTTCATGTGTTAGTGTCTATGGAAGCTGAGTCAGGAAACTTAAATTCGATCAGTTCAAAATTTCAATTGTTACTATTAGTCAATAATAAAGATATGGCGTCAACTAGATTGACTCTGCTGTTCCTCCGCAACGCCGTCATCAGTAAAGGAAGGAGTGAGATCACCGCAATTCCTTGAGAAACAGGTCAGTTATGAACATGACCAACAGAAAAATTTTACAGACTTAGTCAGTCAAACAGGCGCATACAATTAGTTCATGAACATTCTTCCCCTGTCTTACCGATGGTTACTGTCTATCTGGCAACGTTGTCCCTACCCACATCTGTCCGATTGAGCCCGGACTACTGCAGCAAGTTATCGTTCATTTCATGCATGGTCGATGTTTATTTTTCCCGCTGCAGTACGGATAGGGTAGTCAGCTGTACCAGTCGCCGAGCGGTGAGCTATAGCAGGAGTAAGCGGATCGAAAATGTCTGCTTGTCATTCTAGATCTTAAACGAAAATATATCCGAAAATATATGATGTGTGAAATACGACTAATAGGTGCATAAAGTTACCGGAGTTGGGAGCGTGTAAATAAATTAGGATAAAAAAATTCTTATATAGTCTTCCCCACCCCCTACAACTTCCAACCCCCGAATGTTAATAACATCAATATTTTTGTTCTGAAAATGATCAGGACCATGGGAAACGTCAATATACACAGCGATTTTTATTTTTTTCGTTTTTGGATTTTTTTCTCCGCTGCCACTGGACTGAACCTCAAAAGCTATAAAGCCTTTTCGTCCCTGATGTACTACCTATTAACTGTGTGAAAATTTCATCAAAATCCTAGCGCTACTTAATTTTTATAGACGGGCAAGGATCAGTGGATCAGCCGCCGGAAATGAGTGGCATGGTTTTTCGTGATGTGCATGACAAGTAACATTTCCGAATTTTTTTGAGATTACAATACTTCCTCGCCCAATGGCATAGGGTAGTAGTAAGGATCTTATCTAAGGAACATGAAGCTATTGGAAGTAGTTTGAATTGAAAGTGTCAATTGAGCCGCTTCTACAGAGACACAAGTCCCTAGTGACACCTCCCAGTAGAAGTTCGAAATGAATTATTTGCATGTTTACAACACAGTGGTTATTAAAATAGTGTATATAATAAATAAATATTTTCCTTTTTCCTTCTCTATTAGTTAGAATATCCCGGTGTTTATGCTACTTGGGCAGTTTGATCCGCTGTTTGTATGTATTATGCTACATGTGCAAAACCTTAATTCTAAGAACTTTGAAAGTATTTTTTTCACAACATTAAAATCTAAGATTCATCACCATGTATCTCGGAAGTGGGATGTTTAAGCACCGGTTCTATGGAATTTATGTTTGATTCTACCTTCCGCCCTAAAAGTATGCCACTTCTTTTGGATCAGCCAGTATACAAGCTATCCTCATCTGGCAAGGCGCCTGAGACCGATAAGAAGAGTTTAACCTTAGTAGCGTTATTCCAACCAACCATCGACCTAGTTCTGAACTAAACAGCATACACAGATCGAAATTACCGTTCCAACAGTAGATGGAACTAACTGATTACGTAACCTGCAGTTCTCTGTTCCAACAAATTCTAAACTGATTTCGAACAGGTTGTGAACTGGTTCTAACAGTTCTGGTTTTGAGAGAGAACCAAGGGTTTGAATTTGATAGCCCATGGATTTGTACAAAATAAATAACGTCGACGGTTCAAAGTAGGGAAGCTGGACTTTGTGGCTGCCATTTTGTGCCTTTTCCAACTGTCCAGTCCTCTCATATATCAACCCTAGATCTCAACCGCTCATTGTGTCGTTTATTGCACATATTCAAAAAAAGAGAAATGAACATTACATTAGAACATATTTAAGAGACAATGGATATCTTGAGCACCAAGTACCAGGAATGTAAATTAAGCAGTTAAGTGTTGATAATCGCCTCCATTATCTTCTTGATTGCTTGTTGTATTTTGTAGTAGCAGGCTATCACGCTCTTGGTTTCCGTTTTCTTAAATAATTCTTAAATTATGAAATATCTAGGTCCACAGCTAAATATCAGGCAGGAGTTAGATCTAGCGACTATAAAAATACGGATGTCACGAAAATGTATTAGAATTGAACATTACGTGTAGTACTTTATTCTCTAAAACATAACGATATATATTGTATCACAGGTTTGTGCTTCTGGGGTATACCGTATGTTCTGAATTTTTGTAATGTTGTTCGAAATGGGAAATATATTTCTATGTATTAAATTTCTTGGTTTTGCATACTTTGAAGTTGCGCAATTGCCATATCTTCCTAGTGAACCTTCAAAAGAGATATACAGTACTGTGAGACCCAATCACTCTTAGTAATCTGACTACCATAACAGGAGTGTGAAAGACGGGCTATCGAGTGAATGAATGTTTTTTTTATACCGAGTGGAGGTTCTCCATAAACAATAGTGACTTGTAATCAGAAGACCAGAAATTGGTGAAGTATGAAGTCGTACTTAAACCGCAATTTGGCCTGATAATGACGTTTTCACTCAGCAAGATAGTTCAGAACTTCAAAAACGAGTTTTCGGGCAACTAATAGTTGGCTTCCAAGCAATAGTTACTCGACTTGTAAAGATAGCTTGCGATTGAAAAACCGGGCCTTAGTGTTATTAAAATTACACTTACATTTCTCCTCTGCTGCTGTAGCAGAGCATACTTTCTCTGAAGGTAATATGATGAATTCTTTCAGCTCCAAGAAAGACAAAAGTTGATACTTTCAATTGATAATTTCAAATTTGTATCATTCAGGGTTACCTTTACGACAACGCATCTGTCTTTTTCTGTTCCAACACGCTAATTCGGAACTAGCTTTGAACCTCTAACATGTGCTATTTTTCGATGTAGAAGCATTGGTACTGATTTTACATCACTGTCTCAGAAGGGGATAATTTTTTCACGCGTGAGCATGTATCGAAAAAATTCTATTTCACGGGCTACAGGCCAAACGGCTTGTTGGTGTTTGACATAAGAGCTGTTGTCCGATTCGTCTCAATAGTGCGAGTGACACTCGCTATGTTAGAATTTTATATAAACAAAATGGCGGATTTCAATGGAAAAATTCGACCTTGAAATTCATATCTTCACATCTTGAACGACTTGAATGATTTTAACATGTGAGGTGTTGGAATTGTCTTAGCACTGTGAGTAACACAAGTCATATTAAATTTTTATTAAAACAGAATAGCGGAATTTAATAAAAAAAATCATTATTGCAATTCCTATATTACGGGCTACATTTTAAACGGCTTGATGTATTTTGACGTACTCGTATGACGTGTCTTTAGATTACTCTTGATATCACAATTAAATCTTTGTTCCTGTCAGTTACTGTAGTGCGTCTGCTTGTATTTTCCAAGAATATACCTGTTTGAGTCTCTATTCAAACAAACCGCTTTGAGCATCTTTGCAGCCTATTCTACTTTACCTAGAAACTTAATAGCCACAATCCACCCGGGGCATCCTTTGAAAGGACCGCTCAGACAGAAGACAATCTCCTTAATTCTAGCCACCGAGAAGTATATGGAGCGCAGAATTTTCCCTCCTTTTTGCAGCTCACATAATGAGAGGATAGCGTTACCACGGCTAGCTGCATGGCGGCGGCTGCAAAGAAAAGTTAGTCCGCACCCTGGGATTTACGGTAATGACACCATGGAAGCGAATTTGTAAGGAAGAACAAACGGCGCTTGTTTATTCTATTGGCGGCAGTTTATGCTTCTGGAGCGACGGTATGCGAGTTCGTGGCATATAAGTGTCGACTGATATGATAATGTCAAAGTTTACGAAATAAAGAGGAGTAGGGTCACAAGTTGGAAAAACTAATTTGTTTCACATCTGTTTGAGGAAAATGAACTCAGTTCTTTGAACAAGATGGTATGGCATCCGTAAAGATGACTGTTTAGAGTCTTCAGCATCGCCTCAAAACCATAGTCAAGGAGTAAGTGGCCAAGGACAAAGATGACTCAAGAAATCTGTACTTGGTAGATGAATAAATCGGAGTTTGAGATCAGCAGCTTATTATCTTGGATTGGAGAGAAGAAGAATATTGGCTGCGATTTAGTAACGGCAGATTACAAATTACAGAGAAGGGGTTAGCTTGTTAGTCTTAACGCCACTATCGAGACCCCATATACACTGTTCAAGGTACTCTGTCCAGCCTTAATCCTTTAATGAGACCCTATGCATGTAACTTTCCTCTTTTACCGCTGTCATTTCTGATATGTGAAACTGAAGCCTTTCCAGGCTTTCGTAGTATCATAAGAGACGCACTGGGGTTCCCTCATGCCCTTCTGCACAAACTGTCAGACCCAAGAGCCGCATATGTCGATTAAGTCTACAGTGTATGGAAGCATTTATGGCCGTCATTTTAAATCTGAGTAGGTTTTCTATAAATGCAGGTTTCCGTTCCTTAATAAAGTTTGCTCTTGCCCTGAATAAATATTCCACCAATCACCAGATCTCATTTAGTCCAATTTTTTATGCATTGCTTGATGCGTGTTCTCGCATCGCCACAAAACTGCTCTGGGCTGTCGGAATGACTCATCCGCCTTCTCATTTCCTTTGTGCCCTTCGTGTCCTGATTACCAGAGCACTGTTACTTTGGTTGCGTTTCTCAGCTCTTTGAGAATATTCGCGCAGTCCTTTTTTAGATAAGACGATATTTGTGATGAAATTAATGTGTTAGTAGCTGCCTGGCTATCCGAGCAGATGGCGATCCACTAGCTTACAGTATCCTTTCTTATTAGCTCTTTTGAAAATGCTGTAATGGCAAATTGCCGATAATTGGTGAGAGTATTCGGTAACTTTCGGTAATGTTGATAACATGGGTAAGAATAATGACAACTGACATGGAATTATCAATTGAGTTGCGGCAGTAAATCTTTCCAATAATATATATATATATATATATATATATATATAAGAGCTACCATCAAAATATAGGTGAAGAAAAAACATTGCGATCCCATTCAATTAAGCGACTAATAAAGCCTGCAGCAAGATTGAGGAACGTACACTTGAGCATATCAATCAATATTAGTTATTATTTCTGCAATAGATACTATATCGAAAACATGGTTTTTGATGCTTCACTAAGTTACAACAGCACTGGCACCTAATTTATGACTAACTGAAACCATATCGATTGGACTATGTAATAGCATCGGTCGCTGCCCTTTAACTCGACTGTATCTGACCGCTTCTGCCATCTGGTCGGGTGTTTAACTTCAATCGATGAACTCCAGAGCAATCCTGAATTTTGGATACTGCAGGTGTATCACAAGGAACTTTAGACCAATGCAACTCCAGATTTTGTCTAAAAATGAAAGTTACATTTATGCCTTAACATTTCCATATATTCTGTGATACATAGCGTCACAGACTAAAAAGCCACCATGAAGTTGCTCTCTTTGTGCTGTATACTCATCCAGAAGCTTGGGGACATATTTTAAAGTACCCGTTTACAGTGAAAATACCGCAGCTTGTTGCAGAATTCCCTATCCCTTGTACACTATTGCAAGAACTTTTTAACCCCCCTTGAGGCTAATTCCAATGCGTACCGCGCTCCAATGTATTCACTCGAACGATCTTTCGGATGTTATTGGATTCCAGTTTCCGGAACCATGCTTACTCTTGTTTCGTTAATTACTGTTAGTTTAATTTGTGTACTTTATCGACAGTAGTTCGAGATGAGATCTATCGTCGTAGCTGTTAGTTTTTCCTGGCGAATTACCGCTGGCAATCATCTTGATTAATTACTCCAATTTCCGAAGGAATGTTTGTCTTAGATGAAGGTGCTTATCTTGATGTATTTATTTGCATGTAAGAGGTCGGCCTGGCATTTTGATCGATTGGGAATGTCCTAGTCGGCTTGAAACTTGAAAACATGCCCTCTGGCGACAGTTGAGCTGAGATCAGAACAAATTGCTGCATTGAGGATGCTAAGTGTAGCATTTGCGAAGCTGTGGATCCCAATAGACCGTACTGTTAGTGTTCGAAATGTGGAGAATAGAATGGCAGTGTGAAAGTGAAAGTCGACTAGCTTCTAAGGAAATTAGTCGCTTGAGAGATATTAAAGTTGGGGTTCGGTTATGAGAGCGGCATGTCACAACTAATCGAATGCCTTGGTGATGTCAAGCTATGTCAGCTAACCTTTGAATGCGTAATGAATATCGGCAGTCGCTGGTTGAGTGGTGGTGCCTGACTCAAGAAGGTCTCTGATACTTTTTTGAGGCAAGTTGAACAGTAACCTGCCTCACCGGAGAATACTAGTGCTACCATACAGGAGAAGGCTTTAGTACATAATTCTCAGCACAACGGTAGGAATGATGTCAAGACCAGAAGTCATGTTCATGTCGTATAAACGATGATATCACTATAATGCCTCGTCCTAACTGGCAGCATCCGTGCGGAGAGATTCGTACGTAATATTCGCACGAAGAAACTGACTTTCGCGCGAGCATTTTGGGTGTCCTTATTTACCTGCGAAAAGAACGTCTCAAGGAGAGGACTAGACGTTCGTACGACAAAACTTCTACATTCATTTGCGAGATGGACATCGAAGATGAAGCCAGGTTTTTGTTTTCGCGGAATGTTTATTTCCAATCATTGATGTTTCCCAACCCACCCAGAAAACGGCAATCTGCTAAGGTTATATGGAAAGATCGTTGCATGCATGGAGAATTTCATCATCTTTATCCCCAACTGTGTGATGACGAAGAACTGTTTTTCGAGTATGCTGCAATGTCCAAATCAACGTTCGATTACACCTGCAATGAAATACGCGATGAATGCACCCACCAGGTCACCAACTTTAAACAACCGATAAGCGTGGAAGAAAGACTGATGTTAACCATACAGTAAGTTCTTATCAATAAATTACAGTAAATAGTAAATATAGTGAAAGTAGTAAAGTTTATTAAAAAAATACAAAAGTTAACAAAAAACACGTAGCTGGAAATCTTAAATAGAATACAATGTTTGATCATCGACTATAGCGATAGAGGCATTTTTAATGGGTATTGAGGCATCGCGTGAGATATTGTCGAGGTTATCCCGAGGCTGAATACAGTCGGATGAAACTTGGAATTCTAAAAAGCGGTGTGAGGAAAGAACGATGTTATGATCAGAAACAGGCGATGCTGCCATTTCATCAGCAATCAGGTTTTGAATTTTACTTTTCAATCTCAGCTTTTGAATAGGGTGAAGAGTTTTCAGATAAGGAACCAAGGACATAGCAAATAGCATATCCTCATCATCAACCATTCTACTTCTCTCTTTGAAAGCTGCGATTTTCTTTTCTTCGACCTCCAACATTTGCCTCTGGAAGCCCGTAATGACGGCCGCCGATGGCGATGGTTTCCTTTTCTTATTTGGTTGTTTTTCATTACGTCGGAGAATAGTATCAACATTTGTATCTCTTGACTGTGATGGTGGTGATGCCAGTAAAGTCTGGGATGAAGATGTGCCACTGGATTGTTCAAATAGTTGGCGAATTTCTACTGTATCCGTAGGCTGCGTTATGTAACCGTTTGTCTGTGTAAACTGTGGTGCTGACTCGCAAAATGGGGTACCATGCTCTTGCGAGGAGGGCGTTTGTGCGTTTCTCATCCCCTCTGGTAGAATATCTTGTTCTGCAGAGTTCGCCTCACTTTCTTGGGACTCTTCAGGGCAGTTGCCTTCAGTTTCACGAGGTTTCATGACGTCTTTTAGGAACCATAAATCGTTGAAATACACCCACTTCCCGGTGTAATTAGTGAGAGTTGGATCACCCGAACGGTGAACAGTAATGTTTTTCAGTTCCTTTTGGAAAGTATCCCTCAAATCTCTCCATTTGGTCTTCACCACTTCTCCTGTAAAAAAACCTATAATCAGCCACAATACTAATAATAATTAATTTTATATAAAGTGAATAAAGCATAGAGTCATTTATATATCTGTTTCGTGTTCTTTCTTCCAGGTTTCTGGTGACTGGAATTTCTTATCGAAAAATTTCGTTCACATACAGGATTTCAAGAACAGCGGTTGCAAACATCGTAATCGAAGTTTGTAAAGCCATTTGGAAGAAGTTACACAACAAGCACATGAAGTTTCCCAGTACAGAAGATTTCAAAGCTATTGCTGCCTCATACAGTGAAAAGGGAAAATTTCCGCATTGCTGTGGGAGCATCGACGGAAAGCATATCCGTGTGAAAAACACTGTTTTACAACTATAAAGGTTTTTTTTTCAATTGTGCTCCTGGCTGTGTCTGATTCAGATTATAAATTCCGAATCATCGACGTGGGGGCATACGGAAAAGACAGCGACGGAGGTGTGTTGAGTAACTTCATATTTTTCAAAAAATTCGTAGACGGTACATATAAGTTACCTTCAGAAGAACGAATTAGAAATTCGAACATAATCGCCCCCTACGTGTTTTTGGCGGATGAAGCGTTCCCACTAACCACTTTTATCATGAGGCCATTTCTACGAAGAACATCACATGGAGACGAGGTTAAAACTTTATTCAATAAAAAATTATCTGCTTCTAGAGCAACAAAAGAATGCTCTTTTGGAATAGCTGCCGCCAAGTTTCGAATTTTGAATAAGCCGATAGAGACGTCCGTCAACAATGCTACCGCAATTATTAAAGCTATTTGTGTTTTGCATAATGTTATAATAGATAAGGAAG